ATATGCAATGTCGATCATTATCAATTATAATTTGGGGTGTAGATTTTAGGCCCTAAATCAATATTTTGACTGATATGTTCTATGTAAATTTTAAAAATCTTGTATTTAGAAAGATATTGTATTTATGATGAAGTAGAAGAAGTCTCAAAAGCTAATCAACATAACGAATCTGAAACTATCGAAATAGATGAAGAGAAAGAGGATATCCTGAAGAAGAATACAGTAATCGTTTTGAGGAAGATATGAGAACTGTAGTTGAAAATGACTCAGAAGCTAATAGCTCTGGTGAAGATAGGTCTGACGATTTAGAATAATCATTTTAATGTTCAAATAAATAAAGAAATATCAGTCTGGCAAATAATTTTATGGATTTATTGATTGCTATCATTTGAAGTATCTAGAAATATACACTTTTGAAAAATTTCACTAAAAAATTCCCGAAATTTCATATTTCTAGATACTCTAATATCTAAAGAATGAAACCATTTAACCACTTAAAAAGTTAGCTTATAAATTCAGGCAAATTACGGTTAAATGGTTGAACGATTATAAAAAATTTTGGGCAATTCAATTTCATAACCGTTATTAACTTGTACAAAAGTATTCTCTAACTAGATATCTATCGAAATTCGGTATTAACTCACAGACCTGAAACTCAAACTCTAGTTAAATGTTAAGCTAAACATAATCATTTTTTTGACTTTCGCTCACGTAAAAAATTAAATTAATATATCTGATATAGGCTATACCCGGGATTTATTAAAATCTTTGTTTTTTTTTTATATTACACCTGATTTTGTTCTCTGATTTGTTGTAAGTATGTCATGTTATTAAAGATCGTTGATTTTATCCAACCAGAAATATGATTTACGCATAACCAGTAGAAACTTGGGGTCCCCTGTACCCGGGGTATTTTACAAACCACGAGCTCAAAAATCCTAATACTTGCTGTAAAGTACCCGGATATTTTATATTCTACTATAAAAAATTTTCAATAGGGGGGTACTTTGCACGGGGGGGGTACCGTGGTCAGCGCTATACGGTAATATTCTTCATATTTATTATTAATAAAATAGATGACCATATTAGGATTACATCTTCTATACATTGCTTTAGTTATTCCAGAGCATCTTCGAGAATTATAATTTTTATTGTACTAGAACTATACGGTGTTCAAGCTCAGCTAAATTAATATTATATTAATATACATAATTTCCCTTCTCTACAAGATGTTTACGAATTTTGATTAATATTTCTAGCACTTCACGTCTTCCTTCTGGTTCTGCAATATTCAAGCCGGCTATTGGGATGTTTTCTTCTGGCCACCTTAAAATTTCAACCGATTGTTTTTGTGGCAGACCTTCCTCGCTAAGTTCTTCAAAATATGATGAAGGAATCACAGTTTTGTAGAACGTAACATATGTTGAGATGATGCGAACAGCATATACTGTATAGTTTGTTCCATGGCCTGATCCGTAGTCTTGTTAGTTTGATGCAAATTATCAGAAGCACAAGTGAGCATCTCACCAGCAAGTTGACATTCCCATAACCTAGCCATTTTTCAATATTTTCGATATGTTTATCCTGTCAGAGAACTGTTAAGTTAATAAATAAATATGGTCCTGTCAGAAATAAAACATACTAACCTCCACAGCAATCATGGCCGTGTCTATCATCTTAATCGAAAATTCGGGATCTGCTGTTAAATAAGGATGTCCTCCAATGAACAATCTGCATTCTTGGTGATTTCTGAGTTTTAGGAATGCAACTTTAGGACAAAAGATTCTACATTCATAGAAAAATTTTTTTTAATAATTACTCACCTAATCTCCAAAGGAAAAGTATTAAACCCAACAATACGAAGCAAATCATCCATTAATGTATCAGTAAAAGTTTCATCAGTGCCTGAGTTCTTTACAACCCAATGCAGTTTGAGAATAAATGTCCGAACATCGTCAGAAACGTCAATCTTTCTTACATCGAAATTTTGCTTCTCAAGATCAGCGAAATGGATATCGTGGAGAATATATTGTTCTGGTAATAAGTCTCTAACTAACCGATATTTGAATGGTCAGTACGAGGTTCGCTAAGAGAAAAAGTAACACAGGTACTTACCATCAACTTCAGGAGCGATTTTGTTATTGCATTCGACAGGTTTGAAGTTCACTTTAAGTGCCTTAAGATCTCCTTTTATAAAAGCAGATGCTGTGGTGTTAATTATGGGTAACCCTCTTTCTCTAAGCATTTCCTTGACTAATTCTCGCGACTTCGTGAGATGTTTGTCAAATAATGTAGAAGTAGACGAAAGAAAGGCTACCGGTCGGAAAATACATAGTGCAGGCCGAGAAAGCCTCACAACGAGACCGAGCAAAGAAGACATTATTTTTTCATGCAACAACTTGCGCATCCGCAACAATCAGATTTTGCGCAGTAACTAAGCCACCATCATTATTCGATGGGAAAGGAAAGAGTTCGGAAGAACAATAAGAAATATGGTATTAATATTATATAGCGCTTATAGCATTTTAATGATCTAGCTGGTTTTTTTTTACAATTATAGCTGTATTAATAAGCAAATATCACTTGTAAAACACGAAACACGTTTAAAAACATAAAGTAAAATCTTTATTATATTTTTGTAAAGTAGTATGTGAGAAAGGGGCCGGTCGGCTAAGTAAAAAATGAAACTAATAGAAAATATTGGAGTAGATCTCGTTTACAGCTGTTCTCATAAATTTTGGGACATCTGGTAAAAAATTGACCGAATGATTATTTGGTCGATTCGATAAGATATTGATTCGGCAATAATAAACTTTTGATTTGATGTATTTTGATACATAG